TTTATTCATCATTGACCTGGCATTGCACAGCAACACTTTCAGGTCATGTGGGTTTCCCTTGCTGATTCCAGTATCCTTCCGGTCAGAACCAGACCTGGAGGCAGGGATAGTCCTCAGACAACGACTAAACCTGCCTCCTCGGTAATGACATGGTCTGGTCTTAGCGTAACTCCTCCTCCTACCCATGATCACTGAGATCGGTTGTCCCAGTGCATCCCCCCCTGTGGAACATGCCCCAGCCATTTTGTTTGCTGGGACCCACTCCCAGGCAGCCCTGACCCCACCCCTTAAAAAGCAAAATACAAATTATATAATAATTTAACAGAATAATAATAATAATAAAACAAAACAGAACAAAATAAAACAAGAAACAATAGCGCTGACTAAATGCTTATCCCTCCCCAAGCAAAAATAAAATAGTAAAATAATATAATATTATAAAAAACAACAACAACCATTTAAGGTGCTGCAAATTAAAAACAATTAAAACATTTAAAACCATTTTGTCCATTGCTGCCGGTAGCTGCTCAGGCCTCTAAACTGTAGTGGTAGTGCAGGCCCCGCCCCCTAGGCCGGATGGAGTTGGCAGAGGAAGGAGCAGTCTTCCCAACACTCACACAAGCAGCAGCAGCTGCTTGTGTGGACTTTTATATTATGGATTGATATTTTTCCTTTTTCATTTGTGGCTGTTTTTTTGTTTGTTTGTTTTGTTTTGTTTTGTTGATGTTGTCTATTCTATTTGTTTTCAGTTATTGTAATTAGCAATTTAAAAAAATAACCCACAAATTTCCTATAAGGGAATCACCCATGGTATCGCCTACTATGTGAATGTCTTAAAAGTCTCTCCTAACATACTTGAAATAATAGTATTATTAACTTTTAGGGCACTTGACTATTACGATAGATGCACAAGTCTGTTATAGTGGTGTGATACAAAAACAAGACTGATCCAGAGACCACGACAGTCATTGAGGATGTATATTCATGCATCTGATTACTTGTCTGTACTAGTAGGCTATTCCGTATTAACTGATGGGAGTTTTATTGAAAACAAGCATTTCTCCCTTAGATACAGATGAGGAAGAGGATGAAACGATAGTCAGAAGGAGGAATACAAAGGAAACTGCTAAGGCAACAAAAAAAGAAAATGCGAGGGATGCTGATGATGAAAGTGATGAGGATGATGGAGAGAGTTCCAGGAGGAAGAAAACAAATAAAAAGAAAAATCAGAAAGCGGGGGATGATGTTGATGGAGATGAAGAAAGTGAAATGGAGGAAACAGCAAATGGCAAGAATAAGGGAGGAAAAACTGTTTCCAGCAAAGAGCAAAAAGATGCTGCAAACAAGAAAACAAAAGGGAAGAAGAAGAAGAAGAAGAATGCAGATGAGAGGTAAAGACCACAAAATATGCTTAAGGACTTTGATATTTGGGCCTTGGGTACAGATAACTATTTACAAAACGTCTATGCTTTTCTATCAGTTCTGAGTGGCACACAAACATTTAAATCACTGCTTTTCTTAGCAAAATAAACATCTGTGGAGTCCATTGCTTTCCCAGCACCACTTCTGTGTATTTCACAAAGATAAATTGAGATTTAATGATGTATGCCTTTCAGGAGTAATGCAAATACAGTGGTACCTTGGTTCTCAAACTTAATCTGTTCTGGAATTCCATTCCAAAACCAAAGCATTTCAAAACGAAGACGTGCTTTTCCATAGAAAGTAATGCAAAACGGATTAATCCATTCCAGACTTTTAAAAACAACCCCTAAAACAGCAATTTAACATGAATTTTACTATCTAATGAGACCATTGATCCATAAAATGAAAGCAATAATCAATGTACTGTACTATACAATAGATAAGACAGTATTGTAGATGATTTTAAAAAAAATTAAAAAATTCTTACCTGCACTGATGATAGTCATTGTTTGGATGGGGGCTTTTATCCATTTCCGCAGTCACCCAATCAATCAATCAATCAATCAATCAGTAGCTGAACTGGGTTCCACACAGTCACAAAACTAACTAACTAACTAACTAACTAACTAACTAACTAACTAACTAACTAACTAACCAACCGAAAAAGCCTCAAAAACAAAAACAAAAATAAATAGCAAAAACAAAAGCGCCAAACTTAATCCGTTCCGGAAGTCCAAGGTGCAGCTTCTGATTGGTGCAGGCGCCCCAGAAACAATAGTTGACAGCTGCAGTGGACGTTCGGCTTCCGAAAAACGTTCAAAAACTGGAACACTTCTGGGTTTTCAGTGTTTTGGAACTAAGGCGTTTGAGAACCAAGGTACCACTGTAGTCTGTTGTGTATTCAGGCATCAGTGTCCACATTTCATCCTTATTTCCATCCTTTATCAATAATGGATAATATTGACCAAGTCACCCAGTATCTTACATCTACCATCACATCACATGTTTATAGCCAAATCACATGTTTACTGAACACACAATAGCCAAAAAGTATGTGACACATGCCAAGCTATCCATCTATCCATGGTCAACACCTGTCATCAAATGCAGAGTGTGAATGAATGAATGAACTTTATTACGGTCGCAGACCAGGATAAAAAACAAACAAACAAAAAAGATATAAATAAAATAACAGTTTTGTTTTTTTTAACTGATAAATGTTAGAGCAAATAAGGACAAAGAAACAATCATAGGATAAAACATCTGAATAAAATACAAGATTAAACACAGATAATGAATGGGTAAAAACTGATAATTAAAACAGATAAGAACTAAAAACAAATAAAAACACGCAGTTAAAAAAACTGTAGGAGCATAAGAACTAAAAGACCCTATAAAAAGGGCAACAGAGGGGACCCAGCGAATTATAGGCCCATTAGCCTATTAAGTGTGATTAGAAAACTCTACGCAAAGCACCTCCTTAATAAGTTTACAGAATGGCTAGAGAATGAAGATATCCTGGCAATAGAACAAGCAGGCTTCAGACCTGGAAGGTCCAGGACAGATCAATGCCTAACGTTACAACATCTCATCGACAAATACAAATCACGTGGGCAGGCCTCACTATACACTGCCTTCGTTGACCTAAAAGCAGCCTTTGATACAGTCTCCAGAACCAGACTCTGGGACAGACTACAGGGTACCAATATAGATAGAAGGCTCCTGCTCCTAATTCAGGCACTGCACGCAAACACGGCTCTTAACGAACCCTATTAAAACCTTCAAAGGAGTCAGGCAAGAGTGCCTATTGGCCCCTCTACTATTTAATTTCTATCTAAATAACTTAGTATCTGCACTCAATGACTCAGAACTCCACCTGCCGAAGCTTGAAAATTGGCATATTTCGGTCCTGCTATATGCCGATGATGCGGTAATTTTATCTACAACCCCCATTGGACTCAAAAGAGCTCTAAGAAAGCTCGCAGCATACTGTGAATCTGAATGTCTCAAAATCAACTATCAAAAGACCAAGATACTCGCTTTTGGGGGGAAACCAAAGCTTAGAAGCTTGGTTTCCCCCCCAAGGCCATAAATTAGAACAAGTCACAAACTACAAGTATCTAGTTACAGATAGGTAGCCGTGTTGGTCTGCCATAGTCAAAACAAAAAAAATTCCTTCCAGTAGCACCTTAAAGACCAACTAAGTTAGTTCTTGGTATGAGCTTTCGTGTGCATGCACACTTCTTCAGATACACTGAAAACCTAATTATCAGTTTTCAGTGTATCTGAAGAAGTGTGCATGCACACAAAAGCTCATACCAAGAACTAACTTAGTTGGTCTTTAAGGTGCTACTGGAAGGAATTTACAAGTATCTAGGAAAGGTGGTACAGGCCTCAGGAACCAACAAACTACACATAAACTCCATCGGGAGTTCAGTGGAAAAAAACGCAAATTGTATCCTTAAATTCTTTAGAGCACAAGGGGGCTTCTTTGTCCCCGCAGCTCTAAAATTATACAAGGCCAAAACTTTGGCACAACTCCTGTATGGTTCCTTTTTGGGTCCGCCTTCCTCTGCTTTCTCCCCCCTTGAGAGAGTCCAATCTAGACTTCTTAGAGCTCTCCTCCAAGTCCCCAGATGTGTCTCAAACGCATGGGTGAGATTGGAAACGGGGATGATGAGAGTGGAGGCTAGCATCTGCCTAACATCAATCTACAAATGGCTGGCATTGAATCTGCTCCCCCGAGGGATAGCCCCATTGATCCTTTGTGACCAATTCCAGTCAGGCTGGCAGACTGCAGTCCTGAACACTCTTCAAAAACTGGGTTTTGCCCCTCAAGCCCTTCTAAGTCTGGGCTTGGGCCAGGCAAAAGCTAAGGTCAGGCAAAGAATATCAGACACTGAGAGACAACAGGACTGCGCAAGATGCCCCGACTATAAAATTGGAGAAATCGAGAGAGATATAGCCGCACCGGCAGCATATCTCTTCTTTCTCGTATCTAGAAATGCAAGGAGGGCCGTTACACTCGCCTGAAGCTCAGCTCTTCCCTCGCCAGTCCTGGATGGAGCTTTTAGAAAAGTCCCCTATGCTCAGAGACTTTGCACCTGTCTATTGGGAGAGATAGGAAGCCCAGAACACTTGTTCTTTAGATGTCCCTTTTATGAAGAGGCACGTAGTGAGACCATTGAGCCCCTACTGGCGAGGCTTACCGACCTCCCGCAAAAGCAAAAATTTGACCTTTTGCTGTTAGGCAAAGATCAGAAGATGACCTGGGTGGTCGCCAGATTCTGTGTACAAATCTGTAGGCGCAGACCATCGCCCAACTCAAAATAGTCCGGCATGAAAACCCCCAAACTCGGTTCCATGGGTGACTCTGAGTCAACTCCCTGAGACAGTTTGTTGTTGTACATTGTTTCTAAATTTATTGTTGTTCATTGTTTTACAATGCAGAGTGTTTTTGCACGTGTTACTCCTGTTTTTGCAATGGAACACAAAACACGACCCTGTGCACATGACTGCACATGGTGAGCTGAACGCATTTGATGAGCAGATACATGCAAGGTTTCAAAGCACTCACCACATGAACAAAGGAATGAACTGTCCCTGGTCCTGGTCCTGTCTTTTTGCTCCTAGTTCTTCCTCATCTCCCAACTCGTCAGACGATGAGTCTCTATGCGAAGAGGAACTGGCCAAGCTAAAGGAGCAAGTGGAGGAGAAGAAGAAACTCATTTCGATCATGAGAAACAAACCCTGGCGGATGGCAAAGAAATTAGCTGTGCTGAGGTAACCTGCAACACTCCCCCCAGTGATGTCCATTTTCACAAGGGGTAGTTATGTGTTTAGGCTTCTCTTTCAAAACTGCAGAAACTGCCCTGCAGCCACTATATCACTTTGGGAAAGCAACCAATGTTTGCCATATCGGTTGCCTTAACAAGAAGAACACTGAAAGCAGGAATCTTTTATCGGTCTTTGTAACTGAAGGCCAGATGATGAGTAGAAATCTCTTCAACTGATACACAGCTTTGGCTCATTTTATTGCTTCATTTAAAACACACAGGCCTAAATGCCTGGCTTTCAGAAACCTTGTTGAAGTAAGCTCTCTGCTCTTCTTTGATTATTTATGCTTTTTGCTATATATACGAATCACAGCGATCCTTTCCCAAGAGCTTTCAGGTGTTAGACATTTGGAAACAGTTAGGAGAAACATAATGCACCAATTACTGATTTGTGGAGTGCAGCTGCCAGGCTCTTCCAGCGAATGACGCAATGTGCCCTCAGCTAATAATGTTTACTGGCCAGCATCAGGGAGTGGCTAAAGCTCAATGGTACAGTGTACAGCTTGCTTGCTGAAGGTCTCAAGTTCAGCCCTTGGCATCTCAGCAGGTGAGAGGAGAGCATTCTGCCTGGGACAGCTGTTGCCACTCAGACCAGACAACTGAGCCAATTGTCTGGTTCAGTATAGGGCTTCATGTGTACATTAACTGTTTTAAAACCTAATGGTTCATTATGGCTGTTTAAGAAGGCCCTTGGCTGAATATTTTCTCTTTTTTGCATATTTATGTTTAGTCATTTTGTTTTATTATAGTCTTGATTTTTCTGCTGATATTTTGATTTATGATTCAGTTGAACTGTGGGTTATTTTATATTCACCATCAATTTCAACTGAAAAATGGGCAGTATATTTTTAATAATAATAATAATAATAATAATAATAATAATAATAATAATATAGTGCAAAATGATGTCCAAATTATTTCATACAAAGACCCAGATGTAGAGCTAGAAGAGAAAGCAGAGCAAGTTACTAGATGCTAAAGTATCAAGGAAACACAACATAAGGAATTAGGGTTGTAGTTAATTATGCCCTACTCTTTTTTTTTATTAATTTTTAAATTAAATTTTCCAACATACATTTATAGTATCCAATCTAAATTTATCACATATTTTCTTTTTTAGACTTCCTTCAACCTCTCTGACAATCATCCATTAAAATTTTAAATACGCATTTCCTAATTTTATATTGCATTTTATAAACCTTCACACACTTAGTTTTCATCAATACAATAGTCCTCTATCATTTCTTGAAATCCCACTAGCGTTATTTGTAATTATGCCCTACTCAGAGTAAACCAACTGAAATTAGTGAACTCAAGTGAGTCATGTCCAGTAACTTCAATGCCCCCACCAATTCAAGGCACTACAGAGAACCATGTAGATCAGTAACCCCTCATGAAAAAAATGTAGCTTTTGTGATGAAGATACATCCTTTAGTCCTCACTGAAAGCTCCAAATCTGAGTAAACTGGTCAGCTGACATTTGGAGTTTGTCATTTGAAGTACCTAGGGAGGGAGACACAGAGAGGACTACCTCAACATTATGTGGCTTACCATCTTACTAAGAAAGTTGTTCATGCAACCGAGTCACTGTGCTGAGAGAGGCAATTAAACCAGTTTACATTTATAGTGTAAATATCATCATGGAGGAGAAATGTTGGATAAGAACCCCTTTGTATAACATGACAGCAGACATGACTTCAGATTCCTTCATGATGAAACTCAGGCCTTGGCACTGCTTTAGAACTCAAGCACTGTGACTTCAATGGTTGTATCAACACAACGGTAAGTGTTAAAGCTTCTGCCAACTTTCCAAGATGCACTATTATTGCTGTTGTTGTTAATATAACCACCTTTTCAAACTTTAAATTAGGGAGGCTCAAGCTTTTGTTGAAAAGTTTGAAGGTGCCTTGGGGAAAGGCAAAGGAAAAAAGTTGTATGCCTACAAAATGATGATGGCAAAGGTAAGCGACATGAGGAACTCTGATGAATGTAAGGTTTTCCCGTAATTTGTATGGTGCATTTTTGCTGCTGCACTTCATGAAAATGTTTTTAGATGGTACTTGACACCATCGAAATTAGCTAAAATTTACAAACTAAAATCCAACCTATGTTGGAAGTGTCAAGAATTGGAAGGGACGATGTACCATGTCTGGTGGGGCTGCAAAAAGGTAAAACGTTGCTGGAATATTATACATGAAGAAATTTAAAAAGATGCTTAGGAGCCCCATAGAAAAGAAACATGAGGCTTACCTACTGGGCCTTATTCCACAAGAAAAGAAAGTATTTTTCCTGTATGCTACAGCAGCTGCCAGAACAGTATTAGCCAGTAAATGGAAAAGTGAAATAATTCCCTCCAAAGCGTATGTAAAATGAGTCATTATATACAACTGGCAAAATTTCCAGCAGCCATAAGGTTACTGTAATCAAAAGTTAAGATTACAATGGAAATGCTTTGAAGATTATATACCGGTAGATAAACACTGTTCACAAAACAGTATGTTGAAATGTACAGATTAAGACTGTAGAGTTTACAAGAAGAATGATGTTTGAAATGAGATATGAAAGATAATTCAGATAAGGAATGTAATGTAAAGATTCAATATAATAGATAACAGAAATCGGGATGTGGTGAAGGGGAGTCAAGGGTGGGTGGTGGATTATATATGTAATTTTATTTATATTATCTTTTTGGTTTTGGTTTTGTTTTGTGCCCCCTTTGTATTCTTGTGTATTTCTGTATTGTTTGTATTGTTTAACAAAAAGAAAGAAAGAAAGAAAGAAAGAAAGAAAGAAAGAAAGAAAGAAAGAAAATGCAAACGCAGGAATTCAAAATGTTGAAGTTGAGTTTTTAAAGCCATACAGTGGTACCTCGGGTTACAGACGCTTCGGGTTACAGACGCTTCAGGTTACAGACTCCACTAACCCAGAAATAGTACCTCAGGTTAAGAACTTTGCTTCAGGATGAGAACAGAAATCGTACTCCGGCGGCGCGGCGGCAGCAGGAAGCCCCATTAGCTAAAGTGGTGCTTCAGGTTAAGAACAGTTTCAGGTTAAGAACAGACCTCTGGAACAAATTAAGTTCTTAACCCAAGGTACCACTGTACTTGAAATACATATTTTAAGCACAGTCAATGTTGAAATAAATGGAAGAACCAAACCGCTGCTAAATAGGGAAGGCAGTACGAACAAGGATTCTTTACAGTACTTAGGTGTCTCCTCACTTTAAACTGGACTTCCCAGCATATTTTGTTGCCAAAGGCAAAGAAGCAAATGGCCTCTTTCAGGTCAAGGTGCAGAGTATCCAAGGCCAGTTAAGTTATTCTGGCACTTTTCAACCCACATACACCTCTCCTTGGGAGTAATAGTAATAATAATCAATCAATTTGCTGCCCTTTCATGGCACTCAGAAATCAGCTGCCTCATTCTGTCTAATGGTAAAGTATACTGCTGGAAAGAAGAGTCAAAGTAAAGTCCACTTGTTCTCCCTGTCATTGATCAAAAGAGCTCAATGTCACTGTCTAGTTGAAATCCAGCAGTTTTAGATGAGGGGCTCATCTTTAGTCTTTCAGGGCAGCAATAAATAATTTTAACAATTCCACAATTCTGCCTGCAGCGCCAGAGCAACGTTACCTTCTACTGTGTTTATTTCCAGAAATGGGTCAAGTTCAAGAGAGATTTTGACAATTTTAAGACACAATGTATACCATGGGAAATGAAGATAAAAGAAGTGGAAAGTAAGTTAACATTTCTACTTATTTAATAGAATGTTTGTCAATACTGTTCTGGAATCCCTAAAAAGAATCTTCATAGACCAACCTTAACATCACAACCCAAAAATAATGACCTTTCCCTCATTTGAAACATCCCATGCTCGCTGTTTCACAAAACACTTCTTTTGTTTACTAAGTTTAAGCACTGCTTTTCAACTTCTGTTTCCAAAGCAGTGTACAGATAAAAAAGATTTCATTAAAAGAGCAAGCCTCAAAGCTACATTGCATGCCTTATTTTGGAGAACTTCAAGATAACAGACTTAATAATTTCGTTCTCAGTGTGGAAGGAGAATGCTACTTATTGACCACTTAAAAACTTGTTGTCTACAGCCAATCGCTATGCACCAAGGATTTCAACATATGCTGATTTCTTTGCTTGTCCAGTACAAACAGGGGTAATTGAAGATGTGCAGGAAATAACATTTTAATATTAGTCCTAAGGTTTCAATTTTAGTTTTTCATTGTTCTATGGGAATAACTACAACCCTCTTCAGGTTGATTCCCTGATATTTCTTCAGTTTTTCACATGCTGGCTGCTTATTCCTCATCAATGGTTTCCATTTATTCACTGAAGCCAGCAAGGGCAGTTGTCCCATGTTCTCAAAAACATGAGTATGGTGTGTGCTTGCCTGAGGAGATGCCAAACTTTTGTTTTGAGAAGTTTTGTGGTGCTGATAACACCAAGGTTGCAGGTTTGATTCCTGTATGGGTCAGTTGCAAATTGCTGCATTTCAGGGGGTTGGCCTAGATCACGCTTCCTCAACCTCAACCCTCCATATGTTTTTGAGACTACAATTCCCATCATCCCTGACCACTGGTCCTGCTAGCTAGGGATCATGGGAGTTGTAGGCCAAAAACATCTGGAGGGCCGAGGTTGAGGAAGCCTGGACTAGATGACCCTTGGGGTCCCTTCCAACTCTACATTTCTATGATTAATTTCTTGCATTATTGTCACCATTGTCTTTTCTCCATCTGAACCATAGGTGCCAACTCCCTGCCTGAGCACCCACAAAATTCCCCATGAAGGGGCCAGGGCATGACACCCATGGCCCCTGGCACCCTCAGTCACAGGGCCACGTTGGCACTCCTGATCTGGACTGCATCTGAACACAGTCACAATGGCCAGACAGTTTCCCTTGAGGCAGTTTCTCTCATTGATACAGGCAGCAGAAGCAGAAAGTGTGTGGGCAGAACCTTTCCCTCTGAAGCAGGTAGAACCATGTGGGCACAGTTTCTTCCTCTCTTTTAGGCACAGCTCTAGGCAGAGAAGCATCAGGTAAGGAGAACGTTAAGTGGCAGGTGCCTCCGTTGTTATAGGGCTTTACTTACAGAGAAGAGAGCTACCCGGCACCAAAGGCAGAATGACAGAATGAAGGTTGACACGGGAGTGTCGATAGTTCACCAGTGATAAGAGGATGGCCACCTGCTCAGTGTGTCAGAGCCAGGCATGGTTTGTGAGATAAATTGGGAAGCTGCCGGCAGGCTGAAGAAAGGCAGCCAGGAGCAGGCCATGGCAGGAGGACACAGTTATGGTTTTGCCTCCAGCAAGGTTTTGCCTCCAGTGGCAAAGCATCCTGGGCCAGCCCTGTGTGTAATAATAATAATAATAATAATAGTAATAATAATAATTTATTATTTATTCCCCACCCATCTGGCTGAGTTTCCCCAGCCACTCTGGGCAGCTTCCAATCAAGTGTTAAAAACAATACGGCATTAAATATTAAAAACCTCCCTAAACAGGGCTGCCTTCAGGTGTCTTTTAAAGATAAGAAAGCTGCTTATTTCCCTCACATCTGAAGGGAGGGTGTTCCACAGGGCGGGCGCCACTACCGAGAAGGCCCTCTGTCTGGTTCCCTGTAACCTCGCAATGAGGGAACTGCCAGAAGGCCCTCGGAGCTGGATCTCAGTGTCTGGGCTGAACGATGTACCTGTACCACAGAAAATTCTGTCTGAACTCAGCACTTGTCTAATGACGCCTTCTCATTATTTAAGGTCATTTTGGTTCTTCAGTGGCCTCCTATTTCATATTTCTGCGTTGGATGTATGGAGTGAACTTGGTCCTGTTTGGCTTGATATTTGGATTAGTTATAATTCCAGAGGTAAGTATGGAAATAATAATCCTCAGTAAAAAAAAAAAATGGGTTTGGACCCAGAAGACATTGAGTTGCATCAGCTCATGTTGCAATAAGCCATACCATCTACACGGGCTTTTTTAATACATTGCATATAGACCGCCGGGGCAGACCTCTAGGGAAAGGCTGTCGCTCAGGGGCAGAAAGCATCTGCTTTGCATTCAGAGGGTTCTAGGTTCATTCTCCATGTACGTTGAGAGACCCCAGTCTGAAAGCTGGGACAACTGCTGCCACACTGTGTAGACAATATTGAAATAGACCGGCCAGTGGCCTAGAGCCAGCTTTTTATGTGCATGGGGACCCTCAAAAGTAGGTTTTTGGAGTGCCCAGGAAGAGGAGAGGAAAGCAGAAATCTGCTCTCACAGCACTGGATACAAACAGGGGTGGTGCTGTGGTCTAAACCACTGAGCCTCTTGGGCTTGCCAATCAGAAGGTCGTGGTTCAAATACCCATGACAGGGTGAGCTCCCGTTGTTCTGTCCCAGCTCCTGCCAACCTAGCAGTATGAAAGCACACCAGTGCAAGTAGATAAATAGGTACCACAATGACGGGAAGGTAAACAGCGTTTACGTGCACTCTGGTTTCCGGCACGGTTTTCCATTGTGCCAGAAGTGGTTTAGTCATGCTGGCCTCTTGACCCAGAAAGCTGTCTATGGAAATGAGTGCCGCAACTCCATAGTCGCCTTTGACTGGACTTAACCATCCAGGGGTCCCTTACCTTTACCTACAAACCTTAGTCTGGACCCCACCTTACATTGCTTCCTAATTTTAATATGTGCAGGCAGCAACGGCACATTTCTCTGCATGGAGCTATCAAATTCACCCTAGCATCTTGCTGCTATCATCTATCAGCCCCATCATCCTGAATTTTTGCATGCGTGTGCGCGCGCACACACACACAGCACAGCACAAACAAAGATTACTTCACAATCTTTGGGATGTTGTACTACAAAGCCTCTCTCCAGGCATGAACAATGCCCCCAACTTGATCCAGCTTTTTGTAGAGGAATGTGTGCTGCATAGAGAGATAAACATAATCCTTTTACGGCATTCAGGGGAAATATAACCCATGACATCCCCCAAGAATTCTGCCATCAGCCGAAAATGAGCAGAATACAGATTACTGCTATGTAAAATATGATCTTCACACATTAATTGTGAAAGGAGAATGTTTAAGTGTATGGGTGACTGGGGTTTTATTCTGAATTATCTTAGTTTCAATATTTTATTTTATTTCCAAGCAGGAAGGACAGTACAGCTACAAGCCATGCAAAGCAACAGATCAGTGTTAACTATATGAAATGGGAGACCACTGTAAAATCACAATATTTCTTAACTAATAGGAGACATCATTCTCTGGTTCCTAGTCTAATATACTGCAAAGAACTCCATGTAAAAATTAGCCTTCAGATTTTTACCCACCCTTATTCTAATAGATTTTGTTAATTTGAACATGGCATCCATATACAACATCAACAATGCCATTCTGGTGTGGATTTGGTGTTGTACAATGTTTTGTTGCTAAAAAATCAGAAGAAATCTGTTCATAAAATAATGGTTACCAGTTCCCTTAATGTATTCAAGTAAAATTCCATATTTATATAGATTGCAGTGCCCAGATATAATTTTGGCACTGTGAATATTTCACAACTAAGCCTACTTAAAACAGGGGAAGGGTAAGAAGCATAATTTAATTCAGAGAGGCAGCTGTGTTAGTCAGTTGCAGCAGAAACAACAGTCTTGTGACACCAAAGCAGTGGTTCTCAAAGGAGGATGTGGCATGCCACACTGGTGTGGCAAGAGAGGTTGGCAAATGTGGCAGGAATATTCAAGGACTATCAAAGAAACATTTGAACATTTCTGTGGAGAATGGATATACAACCAGAAACAGTATCCATGCCTCACTCCCAGAGCTTTGGGTATTCTTTGACAGTTCTCCATGACAAATTGTTGTGAACAGGGATTTTCAACTCTGACAAAGATGAAAGATTAGAAAAGAGAAAGGCTTCTTTGGGTTGATGAGGAGATGAGAGTTTGTCTCAAATTAGACTTGATATAAATGAGATTAGCCAACGAAAGCAAGCTCACACCTCTCGTTGAGTTCTATATACGTACGTAAGATACATATGCAAGAGGCTCATTATAATTATATTTTGGGAACGGATTGTGTTCTTATGCATTTGCATTGTTTTATATTTTATGGAGGTCCCACGATCATATTATAAAGGAGTTGCGCTCTGTGTTATAAATCAAGCACTGCTAGTTGTTTCCTCTTTGTTTTCCAATGTATTTCTTACCAATAGCAAAGTTGGTGTAGCGCAAGCAAATGTTTATCCTGAAAGTGTGGCCCAGAGGGGAAAAGTTTGAGGACCACTGGACTAACACAATTACTTTGGCATAGGTGGGTCTAGAGAAAAACTGTAAAAAGTGGGGTCTAATGACAACAAAATGCAAAAAAGCACAGTCCCTGACAATTCAGTAAAGAGACTATTCACACCAACAGTAATTGGTGATATCATTGAGGATAACACTGGCTTAGAATGAATCTCTACATTTTGCCTCAAAACTTCCTTTCTAGGAGGGCTAGAGACTTTCTTAAAAATATAACTAGGGGCTGCCACCCCAAGCTCACATTGCTTGCCAGCTCCACCTTTAGACCTTCTCAATCTCCCACCTCTTTCCTCTTATAGCTAGCCCCAAACCCACCTTCCTCATCTATTACAGCTGGAGTGCAGAATATTTTCTGGATAGAGGGACAGATATTTCTTTTCATATAAATCAGCCCATTTGTCTCACATTTTAAAAACAACACACCTTAACAACAGGAAAGGCAAGTTGCTGTGTTGTTATTGATGGGTCAGGAAATGAAAGGACATTTTCAATGCTTCAGAAATTATCTTTTAAAAAATTTATGATTAATTTGTTCCAGATATTAATGGGAGCGCCATATGGAAGCATACCAAGAAAAATTGTACCCAGGGCTGAGCAAAAAACTGCCATGGATTTCTCTGTTCTTTGGGATTTTGAGGTAGGTGTCTTCAGATTTGTCTCAATTATTTACCACTACTTCATTTGTATACCACCCATAGAACTGATTTTCTGGGTGATTCGCAAGCCATTAAATATACAAAATACAATGCAACACTTAAATGATACAAAAACAAACTAAAACCAGCATATAAAACCAGAAAGGTTTTATATAACGTAGTGTAAAAGATCTGAAAGCACTAAAATAAATATGCCTACTATAATTGAAAGTCCAAGGATAAAAATGTCTTCACCAAGGTCCAAGAAGACCAAAGTGTTGGGCATCAGCCAAACCTCTCTAGGAGGGCATTTCTCTATATACTGGGGAGGCTCTGGAGGATCATTGAAGATCTTAAGGTTGGGGCAAGGACTTAAGGGAGAAGGCAATCCTTCAAGTCTCATGGCCTCAAGCTGTTTAGGCATCACTGCCAAGAAGACCCCTCTGCCTGGTGCCCTGAAACTTCACTCTTCTCAGTGAGGGAACCACCAGAAGACCTTTGGAGCTGCATCTCAGTGTCTGGGCTGAACTCAAATCAAGCAGTGTAGATGTATGTGAACCAGTCCCAAGAATCCTCCCTATGTGTATGGGTGGAATAACATTAGCCTTCCCCTTAGTAGGGATCCATACACCACATTGCTGCCTCAAAGGTCCACAGAGCCAATCTGTCTGCAAAGGCACTGAAGCTCAGCACGAACTGCACCATAAGCATAATATCTGGGAAATGCTGAGATGAGATTTAAGCATGGAAGTAGATGAACAGTCAGCAGCGCTGATCCCGGCAGACCCTGCTTTTGAAAGTGCGTATTGGAGAGAGAGAGACTGTAAGACTTTCTCAACAAATGGGTTACATAAACGAGGACAGAGGAGGAAAAAGAATAGGCTTCATTTGAGCTCAAGACAGCATTTCTGACAGAGTGTTCTGGAGGCTATAATCTTCATTTTATTCTTGCAGTGGGGAAAACCAGCAAAATAAAATGTAAGCACAGAGCGAGACCCCAAGCTGAAAATAAACTTTCTAATGAACACCGAAACAGAACTCGTTTGTGTTTGACTTCCCGTTGTGCTTTTTGCCTTTAGCTGTCCCAACAATGTACACAATAGATTCTGACCGAGTATCCACAGGGCTGCCATGGTGCCCCTTATTTGCCTTCTTCCTACGGCCTCAGTCTCAGCAGCGACTCTGCTGAGGCAGAGAAGAACAAAAAGAGCCTTTTGTACACAGCAAGAGTACATTCAGACATCATGCTAGGTCAACAAACTATGGTCCACACAGCTCCTGCTCTGCTCCTCCCTTAGCTGGGGGGGGACAAACCATAGACCAGCTGACTTTCGTATTATGTGAGGTTATCGTGGTTCGTTTCCTCTCCAAACAAAGCACAAACTGAAGCCAATGTTTATTTTTTGCTTCCCAGCGATGGTTTGCTTGACTGGGGGAAACCGACCACAAGTGCTGGTTCAGATGTAACACTAAGCCAGCCATTCCATCATAAAGTGCGAAAGCTCAAGCACACACCAGCAAGCAGCTTATGGTTCAACAAGCAATGCTTTGTAGATCAGTGTTAGGTCTGAATGCAGCCACTGGTAGATATCATACTGAAATGGTTGTATATTCCAAACAATTTACGCAAAAACAAAAGAGGCTTTGGCTGATATATCCTATGCCCTTTTAAAATGTGGTTCTTTTTGGGGGGGTATTGGGTTGTTGTTTTTATTTTGACTATATATATATTGTGGTTTTATATATGTAGTCATTATATATTGTGGTTTTATATTTTGATTTTGTTCTGTGAACCGCCCTCAGACCTCCGGGTATAGGGTTGTATACAAATTCAATACATAAATAAAATATATTAAGTTAGGGCTTATCCACACTTTTGCCCCACTTTTTCCAGGCACAGGTCTGTGCTTGGGGAGTCTTTTATTTGGGTGGGGGAGGGTTTGGCCCTGACCTTTCCCTGTGGAAAACTGCTCTTTAGCAATTGCCAATATGTGTCCTGAATCCCTGGCCTACCTGGCAGCAAGTCCGGGGGTCAAGTCACATGAGCAAAGTCAGGAAATGCAATCCAGGGTCAATCCAAGTAGCCAAGTTTGAAGTCCAGCAGTCAGGACACAATCCAGAGTCAAACCCAAAACATAGTCTTGGAGCATCTAAGCCAAGGTTCATCAACATGGGCAGTTGAGCGGACACAAGACCTCAGCTCTACTTCCAGTTTGTTCTTGGCCTGCTGATTGCAGCACCTGGGCTTGATGAGGCCTGTGACCCTCACCTGTTGTGAGCCTACTCCAGCTGAGGAATCACACCCATCTTCCCAGAGCTAGCAAGCCCTACCTGGCCAGCTAGGGAGATGGTCTGTGGGCCCTTGTCTGCTCAGCCTCCTGGAGCACCCCTTCTGCTGCTCCCTATTCTTCAGAGCCCATCACATTCATGGTGACATGGGGCCCTCTGGCCCATGATGGGTCCTGCTGCTCTGGTTCCTGTGCACTGACCCCCCCCCATCCCCTCATCATCCTCTGTCACCCCATGAGAACTTCCTTCCCTGTCCCCTGCTTTCCCCTGTGTGTCCCAGTCCGGCAACATCCCTTGCCAGGATCCTCTTCCTCCTTCTCACCATCATCCTGCCAGTTCACGGGAATTTGGGTTTTCCATGAATTGATGTTTGTTCCAATTGAGCTTTAAAGAGCGGGCTTTGTGGGGAAAGCTCTGTGGCAAAAAAAAAAAAAAAAAAGGACACCAGGGCCCAGAATTTTTAAAGTGCAGACCATGCCTGGAAAGAACGAAGGGAAGGTAAATGTGGATAAGCTCTTGGACTCAGAGCAGACCCATTGAAATCAGTGAACTTAAGCCCAGTGATTTTAGTGAGTCTACTCTGTGTATCACCCTTTGACTGAAGGTGGAGGGGGGAGATTAGAGTCTCTTCCAATATTGTTTCAGAAGACAGACATGTCACACTCATAGAGATATGAAGGCATAACTTGGGAAAGGAAATCTATCTCGCTGTCTCAGGGACAATGGAGCTGATCTGGTGATTGTACGAGAATTCTGTCTGACATAGTAACGTCTGTGAAATAGCAATCTGTGACCTCTCTGCTTGACTTCTATTTTTGCTTCTTTTCTCGCACACACAGCAGAGGTAGCAGCACACAGATAACTTGCAAAGGGAGATAATGAAAATTAATTTTAGCAGCCTTTCCTGGATGCTGCTTCACTGGGGCTGTACGCAGGAGTGAAAAATTGATCCCTGCAAGAGGGAGATGCAATGCAATACATTTCATCTCCTAATGCCGAGGAGTTGCTCATCAGACTAGGACTGTTGACACCCTAAGCACAATTCCTGGGGTGTAAGACACCTTGAACTCAGTGGGAAGTTTGAATAAGCAATGGGCTGAAAAATTGCTTAGCACAGCCCAAAAGGAAATGCAACTAAAGCGTCTGCTTATATGATCCCTTGGGCCCAATAAAAAGCACCCGCCACAATGGTAGGCGTCAATCAGCCCACCAGCGAAGTCATAAATGGGCATCTCATTCCGCAATGAGGAGTAAGCTGAATTCAGGTTGTCGCCCTCACTAGGCTTGCATCCAGTGCTGATTGTGAAGTTATGTTTAGATCTGATATGCATAAAAACGAACATCTAATATGCTCAAACTGATTTAGGCTGTTTTGTTCCCCTTCCTAGGGCTACATTAAGTATTCTGCTGTTTTCTATGGCTACTACAACAACCAAAGGACAATTGGCTGGCTAAAGTACAGGCTACCAATGGCCTATTTCATGGTTGGCGTTGTCGGTGTATACGGATACAGTATAATAGTTGTCATAAGATCGTAAGTCCAGCTCTTACTTTAGCATGGCTTTTTCTGACAAACTGGTAGTGTTAGCGTATGGTGCGTTCTTGCCTTGTGTGGTGAACAGGTTATGCTCAGAAAAGCCTGTCGCCCAGCTTCCTTGCCCTAACACTCCCAGTTGAGTTTTCTCTGCTATTTGCTGACACCACCCCCCTAATCTTGCAGCCCTGGTGGGAGGGGACCTGGAATGCACCAAAGCAATTATTTTTTTTACAAATAAAGGCTCTGAGCCATTGCTCTTTGCACTCCTTGGTCCCACAACTCACTAGGGAACACAGGTAGAACTTCCAGCTGCCGTATCGTACACCTAGAGGCGGTTTTAGGGCAGTGCCAGCAGTTCGCCCACATTGGGTATGAAGTCAGGGAGGGCACCTTCTTAAAGCCCATTAAGTGCTTGCCCAGATTCAGGAAGGAGGCATGAGGGCTCTGACAGGGTCCTAGAGCCCTCCTTCCTCCTTCCCAAAGCTTGGCACCTCTTACCTGACTTTGGGAAGGCAGGGCGAGGGATGCAGAGGGTGTCAAATGTTGGCCTCGCGCAAGGCTGAATGAATTTTATTATTTCGGTCACAGACCAGTTCCAGCCCACATAAAATATCAAGGAACTCATAAAACACGATAGGGATACTCTTGAATTTGCAACTGGGTATAACAGGGACAATACAGATATATCAACTGTTAAAAAAATATATAAATTAAAACTTAGTCACTAACATATAGCCTAAAATTATCATTTAAAACCTTAATCATTATGATAGCACAGCTTGTTCCCTAAGTTTTATGGCAATCGCACAGAATTTGGCTACACTTAACGTGATCTCAGGATCCTTGTCCTCTACCAGGGATTTTAGACATTGAAGTTCAGATTCATTTGGAGATTTTTGCATGGCAGGGGTAATCAATACCAAGCGTATATCCCTGTAGAAATGTCAGCATAACAAGGCATGAGAGACAGTTTCTACCTCCATCAAGCCGCAGGGGCAGACTCGTTCCACGTATGGTTTACCCTCAAATCTGCCCTGCAATAAGGCAGATGGCAGCACGTTGAATCTAGCGAGGGTAAATGACCGTCTGTATTTAGGTATTTGTAATTTTGACAAATAATTTGCTGGGGTACATCCTCTCCCATTATCTTTTATTGCTGGGTGTTTATTCATCTCGCTCATGTGGCATTGCAGTTCCACATCCCAAATTCGTTGGCGGATTATTGCTCTAGCTTTCTCATAACCTACAACTATCAGGGCCTGTGGGGGAAACCCCAGGCCTCTTAGCTTTTCATGCAGTGTAGCTTTCCATTTGGATTGGTAGGAATCCAGTAGGGTTAAGGGTGCCAACCCAACAAGGATAAAGATAAGTTTTAACCAATAATGGATCTTCAGAATCCATATCCGAGCACTAACAGGTGACATAGCAACAAAGTCTGCCCCTGCTACTCTGAGATCAAAGCAGTTTGCTCGTTTCCATGGCAGACCCCCTTCCCTAAACTTCGTAAAACCCAGGAACTCTTAAGGCCAACACACCCTGTGTTTCCCAGACAGTCCCCTATAAATTACTCAGAGCAGGGGCAGAACTAGGCGTTATTTCACCCGGTTCAAAGACCCAGCTTGGCACCCACCCCACCCCATGAATTGTTCATTACACACAAATGCCGCGCTTCATTGCACCACTGGGTAACCCATGTTATGAAAATATGCGGTTGCACCTTAGTTAAAAGCAACATCTTCAAATGCATGCAAGGACAGGCCCACATTAAAGCCCCCTAATTACAATTCCCCCACAAAAGCATCATTCTTTCCAAGCAGTGCTTTCTGTCCTGGCACAAATTGCTTATTGTTATCCGTAATTCTCTCCAATTCTGTCCCCGAGAAGCTTCTTGAAACAGGGCAAGTCGCTGCTCTCATCCATTCAGTTCTTTTCTGGAGTGCTAACAAAGCAGTTCCATTGTCACTCGATGTAATTATTTTTTTAACGGCATCATTTTAGCAAGCAGGAAAGTGCACTGAAACCCCTGGCAGTTTATAAAGCTGGCGTACTTCTATTTTAACCGCACCAGGTACACGGCGTGAAGAAAAGCTCCGAAGAACAAGCTGCTTTAAAAAGTGGATGTAGGGAGGAAAACACAAGGTAGATCCCAGACTCACAAGCCTGAAGTCTCCCCTCCAGATTTTCCAGTTGGTTGGGACCTGCTGATAAATCCTACATTAAGGTTGTGAAGGAAGGCCCTGATCACACACCCCTACTATTTTGATAAGACAGCCCGCACAAATGCTGCAAAAGGGGTACTTAAGATGCCTACCTGAAAGAAGACCTGGTGCACCACTGGTCAGAGGTCACTCTCTCAAAGGCAGGGGAGAGAGCCTTTCAAATGCTGAGCTGTCTTGCCTCTAGGTCCCTCCTATCATCATGGTCCAGACTGCAATTGCCATATCAGCAGGAAGCTGATTATCCTTGCTGCCTAACAACTAGAATTATCATATTGTAGCAGCTAGGGTTAGGGCTAGTCCAGTGTTAGAGCCAAAATGCTCTGCTTTATTTTGTATTCTGTTCTGACTTCCTACCTCTCCCCCCGATGTTTCATTTCAAATACAGCTTCACAGTTTGACTGCTGAACTGTGTGCAACTGCCAACATCAGGATTCTAGAATCCCCCTGTGTCTAGCTAGGCACTTGGAATTAATACGACTTAAAGTTTAGAATTAGAGTCATAAGACACCAGCACATTCTTTGAGTTCCCTTCCAACTCTTCAATTGGATTTTGAGCCCTGGGAGAGATTTGGGGAGTGTGGAGTGCCTTTGCACTCTGAGACAGCACTACCACATATTTTCATAATATGGCTTTGCCTGTGGTGCATTGAAGTGCAGCATTTGATTGTAATGAACGATTCAGACATGTGGGTACATCTCTGGCAAAGCAGTTCAGTTTTTTCTTGCAGTTTTCCCCTCGGTCAGGTACAGGACTGGAATTAAGCCCAGCAAGGAGGGAAAATGCATTTTAGGAGGGATTATAGGAAAGGGTTAAGCATCTCCTGCCCCGTCCCCCCACAGCCCTCCACAACTGCCTCCTCATCCTTTACAGTTAAGCTGCAAAAACAAGTTTGAAAACTCCAAGTTTGTCAAGGAAACAGAAAGTGTCACTATGGCGCTCCAAAACATGGTGTATAGTCCCCTCTATGTGCAAATAGCAGCTCCAGAGGGAAAGTTTTTGTGGAAGCCCCAGCAGGAAATCTTTAAAGTTCCCGCTCCCCTGACCATTGTGGTCCTGGTTAGGGGCTCCAGCAACTGCTATTAGGCGGGATGAAATGGTAGCCTCAGACAGCAGGTGCTTGGGGATGGGGAGCAACAGGAAAGTGTTGGAGGACAGGCCTGGATGTGTCACACACCCTTCCCTATACCCCCTAAGCAAGCATGCTGCCTTCAGGTGTAGCCTAGTACTGGCATTGACATAAAATTCATTGGCCAGCATGGTTCAAACGGGGAGGTGCCCTCTTGTCATTGCCTCAGGCAGCAAAACATCTTGGACTGACCCTCTTTGAACTTTTGAAAAGATGTGTGCGGAATGAAACCACATGCTTAATGTCCTGTGGGAGTTTAGCCTTGAGTGCCTTACGCCCACCCCCTGTGGATTCTTTGTGCAAATAGGGAACTTAGTCCCAACAAAGTGGAAAATCCAGATGCACATTCATGCTTATCACTGTGGCGAAGGGGCACACATTTTCTCTTTGGCCATCACACTGGAATTCTGAACAAAGCATGCCTGGGTCACCTTGCACATCCTTTTTTCTTTTTTTAATGCTTCTACATAACATGTGAAGATGCCCTCAGCACACTATGGGAACATTTTCCCTGGCTTGCAAGTACATTGAAGGCTATCAGAAAGCTAAAAATAGGAACATCAAGCATTTAAAGTGGGCTTCATGCGCCACAAACAAAGCCAGGAATAGATTCTTTATCTTACAACTCTCATTCCAACCCTTAATCCCACAAACCTAGCATTCGAAACTCCCATTGTTCTAGGCGCGTTTTGTGACAGGGGATTTCATTAGTGTGAGCAGTTTCTGAGCTCTGGGCGCAGTACTGTGCCTAAGATTTCAGATTAAAACTGCAGAGTGGAAGGAAAGGAGGGCCTTTTTCTGCCTCCCCACTTCCAGCCACTCTCCGAAGACTGGAGAAGAGACCCTCTTAAGAATATGAAACATAAAATTGTGATTAAAAAGTTTAACCAAAGTTGTTTTACTGGTAGCAGCCTAAAATGGAATCTTCACATTCAGAGGCAAAACCAAATGACAGTTTTGTGGCATCATAAATGCACGCATGTAGGACTCCTGAATCAGCGCGCCCTGATGTGTATTCACAATTATATATATTTGCTGCCTGAAATGCCCACGTAGAAGTCTCAAAGAGCTGTGCTGCCCTGGAAAACACAGACCTCTCTGCTCGCAGAAGAGAGGCATCTAGTGGCTGAATAGCATATTGTAAGCAACCGTGTATGACTTTGTTGATCTGCAGAATGGCCCGGAATGCCCATGAAGACACGGGCGACGGGGATGATGAGAGCTTCATTTTTAGCTGGAAAATGTTCACTAGTTGGGACTACCTCATAGGCAACCCAGAGACAGCCGACAACAAGTTTGCATCCATTACAACTAGTTTCAAGGTAATCACCACCTTAACTTTCCTCTCTGCAGCAAGATCCTTGTCTCTCGAGATGCTACTGCATTGCACCTTTGGCAGAATTTCAATCAGGGAAGAATACTCATTTTATATAGCTAGGGAGTCATGTTTAGACACACTTTTGTGATTGTATCGAAAGCTTAATGGTGTTTTTCCTTTCCACATCCCAGCTACTGGCATCATCCATCAGTCTCTTCTTTTGCACTTTCTAGTTATCCCATTTCACAAAGGAAAGCTTGACAGTATTGTTGCATTGTACAGTGGAGGCTGAAAACCCAAAAGACGCATTAGAAACATCCTAACTTCTTTGTGGGTTTTTAAAAAAATCAATTTATGATTCTTGAACTGAACACAACCCATATAATAATGCAGTTGATTCAGATATTTCCTGCTTTTTCAGGGACAATGCCCAATACTACTAAACTTTAGCTTCTCCTTAACAAGCTTCAGTCTTTCTAAAGTTTAACTTTATTTTAAAATATTTATAGGGCTGCTTTTCAGAGTAAAACTCTCTCAAGGTGGCTTACATAATAAACCGGCGATACTAAAAAAAACAACCACACAACCTGCCCAGAATATATAATACGATGTTAGCTAAAAGGAATGCCATAACAGGCAGAAAATATCGCTCATGCATGCATTGGTTACCCAAAACAAGTAGATCGTCAAAGCCTTCCTGAAAGACCAGAGTGAGGAAGCTTTTTTAAAAAAAGTGATGGAAAATGCACTAAAAAGTGTGGGATTAAAAAAATGTATTAATGGGACAGCGTATAACCACAGTGCAAGCAAATCGGGATGAAAACGCAAGCTTCACATAACCTCTTCACAAACAAAGCAGAACAAATCTTCATTAAGGAGCAGTTATTGTCCAGCGTCCACATCAGATTTGTGCAAGCAAACCAAGATGAATGCTCAATAAAGAGGTTGTCTTGAGGAGCCTCCAAAGCCATTGGGCCACCATGAAACAGCCCCTTTCTCCATTGTGCCCACCAATTTTACCAGTCATTGCAGCGGGCAACCAAGGAGGGCCTCCATCATTGATCTCAAAGTGTGGGTTGGTTGATTTGGATGTAGACAGTCCTTCAGATAACCAAGACCCAAACCATTCCAGACTTTAAAGGTTAAATCCAACACTTCAATGCAACTTTGGGGCATATGGAATGCTTTGTTTAGAAACCACCAATGCATTTGTTCCACAAGCGGCTCCACAATCCAAAACACACTAACGGGTGGGGATTTGTGTCCAAGCAAGCATATATATATGATCGGGCTGCAAATCATCTCTCCCTGTGGCTTATTGCATTTCTTAAGGAGTCAATTGTGGATGAGCAAGAAAGCAACAAAGATGAGAACATCCATCTGAGAAGATTCCTGAGGGTTCTGGCCAACGTACTTATTATATGTTGCTTATGTGGAAGTGGCTATCTTATTTACTTTGTCGTTAAGCGGTCCCAGGCCTTTTCAAAAATGGAAAACATTGGCTGGTATGAAAGAAATGAGGTAAGAAGAGTGCAAGCATTTTAAAACTGCCTCAGTCGAGTCAAAGTCAATGTTCCGCTGCATTTCTCTGTTGTTGATCCCCACCTCTGGTATTCAGCAATATACTGCCTCTGAATGTGGAGGTTCTATTTAGCTATCATGGCTCACAGACATTGGTAGAATCTGGATCAGGCCAAAGGCCTATCTGGTCCAGCATTCTGTTCTCCCAGTGGCCAACCACATATGAATTTGCTCAGCCTTTTTTTTTTTTTTTACATTTATAGCAATACACGCAAAGATAAAAACATGCCTCTTGTGTGCCCTTTGTTGCCACGATGGACACATGGGCCAACTCACAGCTGACTGCAGTCTATAGGCTTACCTTCTTTCTCCCAGAATTGTTCTTGGATCTGGCAAATCAGTTAGTGAAACCCTCAGATAGACAACCTGCAATGATGCAAAATAATTATGAGGGGTGGGGATTCAAAAGTTGTAGAACCACGTATTTTTCTTTGCTCCTAAAACCTTTCTGCTATAAAGCCCATGGCGTCATTCTGAAAGCAAGGTTATCAAGCTTCCTTCTCGATCCCATTCTTCAGAAACATATATTCAGCAGCAGTGCATGGTCACCACAAAGAGAATAGTGGGAGCTTTGACCAATTTGCTCTGTATGCTCACTATGCCTTTAAAGCACATTTGAAACACATTTCCCCCTTCAAAGTGTTATGTACTAAAGTTCTCACCCTGGGCCAGCAGGGGGATACTGTAGATAGTTTTCACTCAGGTCCACATATGCAAATAAGGGGTTGAAAGTGACGTTCAGTGATTGGACAGTTACAGAAAGTGGTTACTGTTACGTTCTAGTGGAGCTCTATATAAGCAGGCTGGCTGAACCCTTCAGTTCAGTCCTGTTCTGGCCTGTGAATAAACAAGAGCTGTTTGAAGAATCGCTGTGTCGTCTGATATGTTCATCCACAACTTAACACAAAGAATTCTGGGCATTGTAGTTTATCCCTCACACAGTTGCAATTCCCAGCAAACCTTAACAAACTACAGTACCAATAATTATTTGAGGGGAAAGAATGTGCTTTGAATGTACTTTATAGTGGGCAGACAGCCTATGATAAGCAGCCTTCTTCCAACACTGGGCCCCATATGTTGTTGGACTACAACTCCCATCATTCCCAGTCAACTGAGTCAATTACCGGGGATGATGGGAGCTGTAGTCCCACATCGCCTGAAGACCCAGGGTTGAAGAATTTGGTCTGTAGTAACCTGACAAATGGAAAAATTCTTCCCTGCTATCATTTATATCCTCTGTCACCTCATGTAATGGGTCAAGTCAATATGAGGCAACCAGTACTGTATTTATTCAGTAACACCCAGACCCTCACTACAGACACATTCCTATCATGATTCCCAAGTTTCTGGGAAGCCATCGCCACAATTCAGACATGACACCACACCATGGTCAAGGCACGTGATGACTTAAGGTGCCCATTTCAAGAGGAAAAACTAATTTTCTTTAACACAGCTTATGGCTAGGCTTTTGTACTGCAAGATTTATTGGCCTATTAAAAATAAGATCGGCGCATCACAAGCCAGACCCAAGATTTAGAGTTCTCTGAATAGAAACCTAGTTTAGCATCTGCTCTTCCTGGTTCTCTGGTCTCTCCTCCAGCTCTGTTCTGTTGATAATGATCAGCCTATATCCTGATCTGACCTAGAAGGAAATAAGCCCGTTGTGGTTTAGGGTTGCTAGGCAACCCTGGGAAAGCTCTCATCACACACACACACACACACACACACACACTCCTAGTCAAACAATCAAAAAGTACTGGGAATTGTCCTGTGTGTATTTAAGCAAAGCCAAAGTACTTCTTTTCCATTTTCCTGCTGCCACCCATCAAACTGACCAAGCCAGGAGTGGAGTTCAGTACACAGGTAGTAAAGGTAAAGGTACCCCTGCCCGTACGGGCCAGTCTTGACAGACTCTAGGGTTGTGCGCCCATCTCACTCAAGAGGCCGGGGGCCAGCGCTGTCCGGAGACACTTCCGGGTCACGTGGCCAGCGTGACATCGCTGCTCTGGCGAGCCAGAGCCGCACACGGAAACGCCGTTTACCTTCCCGCTAGTAAGCGGTCCCTATTTATCTACTTGCACCCGGGGGTGCTTTCGAACTGCTAGGTTGGCAGGCGCTGGGACCGAGCAACGGAAGCGCACCCCGCCGCGGGGATTCGAACCGCCGACCTTTCGATCGGCAAGCCCTAGGCACTGAGGCTTTTACCCACAGCGCCACCCGCGTCCCAGGTAGAATACACAGGTAGAATAACAAAATTGCCAAGCTGGAAAAGACCATGAGGGTCATCTAGTCCAACCGCCTACAAAGCAGGAATCTTTTTGCTCAACATGGGGCTCAAACCCGCAACCCTGAGATTAAGAGTCTCTTGCTCTGCCAACTGAGCTATGCCAGGGATTGCCCCACTTATAAAAGGTATACAACTTTATTCCCCAAGTCAATAATTTCATTTGAAGATACAGATATTTGTGACATTTGTGTTCTTACGGTCTCACACAGAAATGCCTACTGTCGGTTTCATCCCTTGCCATCTCAGCAAGATTAAGCCGTGTATCCACTTGGCGTAAGAAGTGATTTCACATTGTTCCTACAGCAGGCTTCACACTTTCATTTTATGGAGCGTACATGCTCCTGCGCAATTCAAACATGTGGATTGTCTCCAACTTAGTCCTACTCAGAGTAGACCCACTGAATAGGACAAGGTTAGTCAGGCCCATTAATTTCGGTGGGTTTGCTTTGAGTAGGACTCACATTAGATACTACTCTGTATTTTGATTTAAGTCATACTACTTGTACTGGTATCCTTTGAGGGCACCAGACCCTCAAACCTGATAATATTCTACTTTATTGGTTTACTTTTTTGTTACTACTATTACATTTACACCTTGCCTTTCTGCAAAAGGATGCTTTCAGAAAACAGATGCTTTCAGAAAACAGATGCTTTCAGAGCAGCATTGCAACTATTAATATCTCCCACACTGTATTCACGAAAAGCTTAGCCCAAGTGTTGAGGGGCATTTTGTTTGTTTAGAAAATGTATAAATGTTTGTTTAGAAAATGTATAAACCGCTTGATAAAAAAGCCCTCCAAGCATGTTACAAATAAAGTAACACAGCAAAATCCGCAAACACTGGTGGTTTTCTCCAAGTTAAAAACTCAACACAACTTTAAATGTAAATAAGTAAATCAGGTGCCTGGGCATATGGGAACTGAAACGTTTTCAGAAAGCATCCAAAACAATATAGATATTGGATACTATTCCTAAGATACCATTTTTAAATATATTCAAAAAGTTCTGGTGCAATTTCCCTTTTCCCTATGTTCACATGATGGAGAGAAAACTTAAGCAGAAAAATCCATCCTGTCAATGCCCGGCAGCATGGGAGTGAAACTGCTCCCCTCCTGAATCTCTTGAGAGAAAATATTTGGGCCTGGAGACAAGGCCCAAGACATTTTGCTGACTGAGGTGAAGCAGGTTATAGCTCTTCACCAGCACACAAGGCAAGGTGCATACTAGTCACCTCAAGGCCTCCTAAGTTATTTTCTGTACCTGAGGCAGAAAATCCAGCAAGGATTACTCCTCCTCTCTGGCATCAAAAATGTAACAATAATAAATTTGCTCTGACTAGTAATTTCTACCTTTCCATAACACTCAAAAACACCGACCTAAAGTGGCCATCTCGCTATAGCTTTGTTACCGGAATTTTTAAAATGGTTTGTTTCCAGTTAAATGGGACACTGCACCCCCAGACCATCCCCCAAACCAACACCATTCAATTTTGTAAATACAGTGGTACCTCTGTGGGACGCGGGTGGCGCTGTGGGTAAAACCTCAGTGCCTAGGACTTGCCAGTCGTATGGTCGGCGGTTCGAATCCCCGCGGCAGGGTGAGCTCCCGTCGTTCGGTCCCAGCTCCTGCCCACCTAGCAGTTCGAAAGCACCCCTAAGTGCAAGTAGATAAATAGGTACCGCTTTATATAGCGGGAAGGTAAATGGCATTTCCGTGTGCTGCGCTGGTGCCGGCTCGCCAGAGCAGCTTCGTCACGCTGGCCACGTGACCCAGAAGTGTCTCCGGACAGCGCTGGCCCCTGGCCTCTAAAGTGAGATGGGCGCACAACCCTAGAATCGGACACGACTGGCCCGTACGGGCAGGGGTACCTCTACCTTTTTACAGTGGTACCTCGGTTTAAGAACAGACCTGTTTACAAACAATTCGGTTCACAAACTCCGCAAAACCGGAAGTAGTGTCCCGGTTTGCGAACTTTACCTCAGAATGAGAAAGGAAGCTGAACGGTAGAAGGCCCCCGGCGGAGGGAGGCCTCATTAGGGAAAGCGCGCCTCAGTTTAAGAACGGTTTCGGTTTAAGAACGCACTTCCAGAACGGATTAAGTTTGTAAACTGAGGTACCACTGTATCCCCATAAAAACTCACCACAGTTTTGCTGCGTTGTCTCTTGTTCAAGGTCGCATAGCATTCACCTGTCTCTTGCGCAGGAAAACCTTCAAATATTCATTTATTCATATAAATCATTTATTCATATAAAATCAGTCCCATGTCCAGATCGACACCGTTCCAACTTCATTTTACTCAGGGAACAAAGGACTACCGAAGGAGGGAGCTTGGGACATGAGTGAGGGCAGCCATAATCCCTGAAGCCTGTGATAACTACACAGCAGCCTCTTGCACAAGAGATAATCACTGGCATCCTGGCAAATGTGTGCCAGACAGGTAGTCATCCCATGGACAATAGCAAACCATCCAGGAATGGATTGGGTTCTCAGTCAGGACAAAGAAGTGTGAAACCCAGGAGCTTGTAAATATTTCCTTTGTAGCACTTGATGGGTGTGAGGTGGAAGGCAGGGGAGAGATGGGGGCAAACCTGATGAACCGGTTCTTTGTGACATATGTATGATGTATCTATGATGTAGGCATGATGCTTCAGCAAGGGTGTTTATGGGAAAAGGGAAAACTTATAAAAGAGGAAACATCCCTTCCTCTATCCCTTTATTCAGGGCTTCTTCCTGCTTCTTCCATGTGGTCGGGGGAAGTCGTGTTGCAACAGTCGTTGAATAAAGATCAGGCCTACAGGCTGCTGTTTTGCTCCTTATACTCCTGGCTGGTGTCTTTGTTTGGCAAACCAAGTGAGCCCAAGGATTTTCCTATAAGAGCTTGGTGGTGTGAGAGATCTATCCTGCTGTGCCCACAGAAGGACAAAGGCAGCCTTCGCCCTGCCTCCATCCCCGCAAATCAGAACGGCCAAAGGAGATGCACAGGGCCAGCCCTAACATTTGGCAAAGGGAGGCAGCCACCTCAGGCAGGAGATGCTGGAGGCTGGGGACGGGTGTCGAGGGGCAGAACTGAGGGGCAGAACTGGGTGGGTGTCAGCTCATTAATAACATTGAAAAATAACAAAGCTCTCTTTTTCGGTGTGACAGGTTGAAATTGTTATGTCCTTGCTAGGAATGTTTTGCCCTCCGCTGTTTGAAACCATTGCGAACTTAGAGGAGTATCATCCTCGGATTGGACTGAAATGGCAACTTGGACGCATTTTTGCACTCTTCCTTGGGAACCTTTATACTTTCTTGCTGGCCTTAATGGATGATGTCAAAGAAAAGGTGGGAATCTAAAAAGAATATCCGTTCATTGATTCCCAGAGGGGTAGCTGCGTTAGTTTGCTGTGGCAAAAACAGAAGAGTCTTGTGGCACCTAAGTAAAGCCAATATTGCCCCTGCTAGTGTGTTTATTATGGTTGTGGTGAGATTCAAACCAGTCTCTTCCCACTATATTATATCGACTCTTGCTCTGTGGTTTGGATTCCCTGAGGAGAAAAGATCCAGACAGATCTATCTGCTCTGGAGCAGAAAGTGCAGCCAGACTCACCGGAGGAGATGAAATCAGTCAGTTAGAAATAAAGAGTCTTTGCTGAATCAGCAATTACAAAAAATTGTAGGCTGGTGTGGAGGTCTAGTTGCAGAGGAGTCAGTGACATCTGGAAGCGGCTGACAGGGCTGAGCCACAGAAAAGACTGAGCGCATTGGAAAATCAGATCTATTCATGAGTCAGAGTCCATCAAGCAAGGCAGGGGTGGTGTACGAGAGGCAAATAAACCCTCAAGCAAAACCAAGGCCTTGTCAGGACGACTCCTCTGTAGAAATATTAGCCAGTGTGCCCATCAGGCCCAAATGGAAGCGTACTGCATTTGACTAAAAGATACCCTGGAAGGTCTGTCTGTCCCCGTTCAACATAACATGTCAAAGAAATGGTTGGAGAGAAGGAAGGAGACTTCTTGACAGCTATTCTACATGGCCTAGCTCTTAGGCTTCTTACACAATCTACCCCAAAGAGGGTGAATTATTCAGACCCCCGTGGCTGTGAGTCAGGTTTAGCACCGTTCAAAACTGGTTAATTCTCCATACACCCTTACCGAGAAATGTTGTATGACTTCAGTCCTTCTATAGGAGATGAAACAAGGGATTTAAAACAAAACAGACCAGGGCTTTGGAGGGAAGAAGCCCTACAGAGCTGCAATATGTCTGGAATATGAATACTTGTTTGCACATCTTGACACCCACATTTGGCCCCTTTTCTCAGCCACACTCGCAGTCCAAGTGTGCACTGTAATGTAGCTAGCTGATTTTCATCCTCAGCCAGTGCCTTTGGACTGCCTTGTCCATTCTGGCATATCTTCAATACAGTGGTACCTCAGGTTACATACGCTTCAGGTTTCATACGCTTCAGGTTACAGACTCCGCTAACCCAGAAATAGTGCTTCATGTTAAGAACTTTACTTCAGGATGAGAACAGAAATCGTGCTCTGGCGGCGCAGCGGCAGCAGGAGGCCCCATTAGCTAAAGTGGTGCTTCAGATTAAGAACAGTTTCAGGTTAAGTACAGACCTCCAGAACGAATTAAGTACTTAACCTGAGGTACCACTGTAGATAGTTCTTGGAAAATGCTTTCCAGGTGCTTATCCTAGATGGTACATCTTCTCTGTTGTTGTTAACAACTTTTAATTGCTTCCATTTAAAGTTTAAATCATTTATGTCGCCATTATGAGGATGCACTTTTACCCAGCACACATTTTATGAGAATTAAATATGATTATTTTAATACAAATATGTCTTCTGTTGTAGCTGGTTGAAGAAGTCAGCATCAGGAACATAACACATTGGACCCTCCTAAATTATCATAATTCGTCTGTGGCGAATGGAAGTGCTGTTTCTCTACCTTCCATGGATCCAGCCGATGTCCCTCGAGGACCTTGCTGGGAAACTACTGTGGGAATAGTAAGTCCTTCCATGAGACTCTTATCTTAGCACGCCTCAGACAGGGCCTGGTAGTGTGAGCCCTGTTTAACCGAGATCAGAGCTACACAATCCATCAAACTGAATCGTGTTGTGCACCCATGGAACTTCTGTACCATTTTGTAGCCTGAACTCATAGTGTAGGTGTTGGGAGTTATAGTTCAGCAGCATCTGCAGAGCCAAAAGTTCCTGAAATATACTCGGAGTCGAGAGTGGATTTCATGCTCTTTATTCAGCTCATAGTGGTGAGGAGGAATGGAAGTTCCCCCAAAGTATCTGCTTTATATACATTATTTACACAATGGGCCCCACATGATTGGCTAATTCCAGAATTCTCCTGTAGGCCAATCAGGTTGTGGATTCACTTCCACCTGGAGCTGGATTGGGTGGCTCCTGCGGACCAATCATACTGCTGCATTGTTCTAGGACCAATCAGACTGCTGCATTCTGAATCCTCTTGTTCTAGGACCAATCAGACTGCTGCATTTTGGATCCTATTCAACTTAGTACATAACAGTTCCCATCATCCCTAGTCACTGGCCATGTTTGTTGGGACTGATGAGAGTTGTAGTTCAGCAACATCTTGAGGACCAAACATCTCAACATCTTGAGTTCTGCACTTCCTCAGAAGATGGAGGTTTCCAAATACAGTCAAACCTCGGCTCCCAAAAGCCTCCGTTTTGGAACGTTTTGTCTCCCGAACACTGAAAATCCGGAAGTAAATGCTCCGGTTTTCAAACGTTTCTCGGAAGCCAAACGTCCGACACGACTTTCGCTTGAGTGCAGAAAACTCCTGCAACCAATCAGAAGCCTCGCCTTGGTTATCAAACATTTCGGAATTGATTACGTTCGACAACCAAGGTTGGACGGTACGTAAGAAAAGTGTCAGCAGTAGTATTTTTTTCTGCTTTATTTATACGATTCCAAAACAGAAATGCACAAGGAAACATAAGGTTTATTCAACATGGTAAGCCAAACCGTGACTCACTGGAACCACCCAAATGTAGAGGTCCCAGAGGAGATCTCACAGTGACTTTGCTCCTCCCCAATCTTATTTAATCCCATGCCACACAGAGCTAAACCAAGGTTAGCATACCATTCGGACCCAGGCTCATGGTTCAGCTCTCTCCTCACTAACCACAGGCTGCAGTTAAGAGCAATAACCAGGCCGCTGTCACCAGCTTCTTGAGTTAGAATACTGTCCGAGCTAAACTGTTCCTTCTCCTGTTCAGAGCTATCTCTTTCAAGGACCTCGTAGTCTCAGCAGTTGCACGAAGGTTCTTTATTTACCAGGTCAAGTGTTCAGTGCACAAAGGTTATCCTAACCTAAGTCCAACACAATCAATAATTCAAATAGTCTAAGAATCAAAAATCAAACTTCAAGACTCACCTTTCACAACAGATGAAATCTATATCACGGTCTTCTGCAGGCACAAAACAGTAACTTCCTTATCGGTAGTCTTTCTTCTTACGCTTCAGGGTACCTAACATCCAGCCCTTCTTTAATAGGGCATTTAGGGCCCATGGTTTTCTAGATAGCAACCCTATGACTACTCTAAAGTAAGAACTCTCCTCCCACAGGACTGGCTCAAGTTGTTTTGGTGCCTGAGGTGAAGTAACAAAACCTTCTCACCCTTCTCAAAGTGGACATACTAAGGCTGGCCAATTTATTTTGGAAAATACCACAGACAAGGCCTCTCCATAGGAATAAAACACAATAATAACAAATAACCCCTCAAGACAGCCTAAAGTAGCAGCCTCACTTTGTAGACCTAGGACTCAGCTATACAGCTGCAAATAAAACATTTTAAATGTGTTGTAAAGTGCAATATACAAATGTGGCACTAGACGGCGACAGTGAGCTATGCCAAATTCAGTGTCTTTTTAAAAACGTTTTTGAAAAAAGCATTTTCATCCCAACCACAGCTTTTATCCGGTGCAAAGAGCACTAGGAAGCACAAAAAATGGAGATTCTCTTCTTGAACCAACTGACCACTTCGGAGCTTTGTATCAACAGCAGATCTGGAATGTTCTGGAATCCCATCTCCAATGGTGGAGCGTTTCTTTCAGTGGCCAACCAAATACCTAGGGGAAGCCAGAAAGGAGGACACACAAAAAAACTTATAAGGCTGATACCTTTGCATTCTTCTGGTCACATAACTAAAGACATTGAATATAGGTGTGCTTTTCCACAGGAATTAACACCACAGAGATGTAGCGGTTTGGGTATGTGTAAGAAAATAACAACATAGCACCCCAGCTGTTACCTTTGTTTATGTGTCTTTTGTTTTCAACTTGACCATCTCCCACTGTATTTCAACCACCAATAGGCAGAGTCTGCAGGCTCCATTAGGGATTCCTCCTTTAAATTAAAAGCTTCCCCCCTGCAGCTTCAACCCATTTTATTGCTTCCTTGGAACAGTGCAGGTGGAAGATTAGTGCCAAAGTGCCCCTGACTGGGTCAGTTTTCGTTCCTCATTTGGGGGCCGGAGGGAGGAAGATATTTATAAAATTACTTCAATTATATACGGTATATTTTTCTCCATAAGAACAAAGGAGTGGCAGGAGATACAATGCAGCTTTGTGAATCTAAAGTACAGGAGACATCTAGTGGTCACAGCAGAAATGAGAAGTAGGTTCCTGCAATGGAATCTTTCTTTGCATGACCAATAAGAGAGAGCAGGTTTGAAGAAGAAGTTAAGAACTTTGGGGATTTGAAAAAGAAAAGAGCACTTGAAAAGACAGTTGGAGAAGGGGCAGGAGGAAGAGGGCTATGGGATTATGAAACAAATATGGGTTCTTAGTCTCCTGTTTGCCTCATGGTGGTCAGAGGAGCCAACTCCTAGAGGGCCGAGGTCCCTTTGGCTCTGCCCAGTAAAATATTTGACGGCCTTCCCCCAAAACAGTTGACGGACATTCAAATGATCGATTATGAGGGGTGGGGCTTACCGACCCCCCAATATTTTATTCAAGTGGGTCCCCCCTGCTCATGGTGCTCGTATTTCAGGGAGATGCCCAAAAGACACACACACCACTGTCCTGCTACTTTATAGTCCTGTCACCAGCAGACAGATGCTTTGCTTGAGAAACACCAAATGTGTCCTAACCTAAAGGAAAGACATGGGAGTCTACGAGAGAAGAGGAAGAGATGGAAGCAGTAGAATCAAGGCTCCTTCTGAGGCGACAAGTCTGCATCTGGGCTGCGCCAGTTCAGGCAGCAAGAGGGAGCTTGTCACGGAGAAGTCTCTCATGGCATCGAAAGAAAAACTCTGCACTTGCAGCAGTCAATCAAATGAATCCTCACCTACAGACTGAAGTGCTACAGCAGGCACACGGGTTTACTGCCTCAGTTAGAACTAGGCAGATGTTTTGAACAACACAAAAGCTGGCCAGCTCCCTTGGCCAGGAAAACAGGAGGAACATTGGAAAGTCTTGGTCCAGCTCTATTTCTTTATGTATTTATATTTATTTATTAGATTTACATAGTGCCCTTCCTCATAAGATCTCAAGGCAAGAGTGGTTCCAATTCCAAATTTTGCTTCTGCTGTAAAACCCTCCAGTGCCATAGTCCTAAAATATCTTTTCAACCCTGCCCAAGGAGTGTTGCTAGGCCTTTGGGGACTTGAATAACCAGTTGGCCGGGCTGCAACTTGGACCAATGCAATTGAGGCAAAGGAGTTCTGAGGCAAAAAGTGAGCTTGGTTCAGCACCAGGTATAACCGGACACTTAGATTGGCCCAAAGTCCCAATGCAGTCTTTCTAAGGAACATTATAGGGGAAATTTGGTGGCTACTGAATTAGTGACTTCTGAAAGACAATTTTCTGTTTTTAATGTTTATTTCCTCTTAAAATAATACTGTATTTTTTGCTCTATAAGACTCACTTTTTCCCTCCTAAAAAGTAAGGGGAAATGTGTGTGCGTCTTATGGAGCGAATGCAGGCTGCGCAGCTATCCCAGAAGCCAGAACAGCAAGAGGGATTGCTGCTTTCACTGCGCAGCGATCCCTCTTGCTGTTCTGGCTTCTGAGATTCAGAATATTTTTTTTCTTGTTTTCCTCCTCCAAAAACTAAGTGCGTCTTGTGGTCTGGTGCGTCTTATAGAGCGAAAAATACGGTATATATGGCAGGTGGGGGGAGTCTTAGAATACAAACTGGAGAACATGCTAGCTAAATGCTCATCACTTTTTGTCCCCGTCCCCCCAGGAATTTGTGAGGCTCACTGTGTCTGATATACTTGTGACATTTGTAACCATACTTGTGGGAGATTTCCTCCGTGCTTGCTTTGTCAGATTTGTCAACTATTGCTGGTGCTGGGACCTGGAGGCTGGATTCGTAAGTAAATGAACTGTAGATGAAGCAAAGTTCTTGTCTTATAATAGAGTTTAACCAATGCTTTGAGCCACATTTTAATTCTGTCCCCACCCCACCCCCACCCCCCACTGAAATGTACATTTAGAATCCCCACACTGCAGGTAAGGCTAGTGTAACTGCTCAGGCAGGCTGGGGCATGATATGACTTATAAATGTGTCATGACACTCCATTTTGCAACAACTGCAGCATCTGAACTAGCCTTAAGGGCAGTGGCATACAGAACAAATGACAGTAACCTAGCCTTGAGATTGCCAATGCATTGATCACTATAGCGAGGCTCTTGTCTCTTCAGCAGCAGTTGAAGTTGGCAAAAGGCTTTGTCTAGTCTGCAGCAATCTATCCTGCATGGACTTAAAAGCCAGGAAGGTAAAGATATGCTAAAAAAACTTAAAAGTCCCAAAATCTCAGATTATCAATAGTCCAGGACTCACCAGAACATCAGGCTGTGCAGTGCATGGTACTGTCATGTGGAACCATTGATGCGCATACAGAGGTACCTCGGGTTAAGTACTGAATTTGTTCCGGAGGTCCGTTCTTAACCTGAAACTGTTCTTAACCTGCAGCACTACTTTAGCTAATGGGGCCTCCTGCTGCCGTCGCGCCGCCGGAGCACAATTTCTGTTCTCATCCTGAAGCAAAGTTCTTAACCCGAGGTACTATTTCTGGGTTAGCGGAGTCTGTAACCTGAAGCATATGTAACCTGAAGCGTATGTAACCCGAGGCACCACTGTATATAAGAAAGACAAGATTATTCTCAGCGCTCTACCCCACCCCGTTCAGAGATGGAACTTGCAGGGATACAGAGGAAGCTGAACTCTACCAACTGCCCGAGTTGATTTGATGTCAAATGCATCACGATAAACCATGCCAACAGTTTTAAAAATTTAATGGCAGAAGTGTGGGGAGGCAATTTTAACTGGGAGCCCAGCCCATGGAGAAGTTTAACCGTTCCCTCCACAATCACGATCTAAAGAGGGGGGACCCTTTTCCTGCTATAAGTCATGGGAGACGACTCCCAGTGTTGTCAATGGGAACATTTCCCCCTAAGGCTCATAACCACAGCAGGGCGGGTGATTTTCGTTGGGATCACAGTGATCTTGGGCCAGTCATGAAGGCTGACCTGCCCTCCCTGGGTTATTACGAAGATAAGTGTGTGTGCCACCAAGCTCCCAGATGAAAAAGTGGGATGTAAATGTGGCAATAATAATATTAAATAATAAAATTCGGCCTTCCAATGGGTGCTATTTAAAAAACAAAACACTGATGTGGCTTTCCCATCCCACTAACAACATTTGGGCATTCCCACCCCCACCCCCAAGGCAAAAACTGGGACAGCAACAAATAGAAGCAGCACATATTTGCCAGCAACAGCTTCCAAAGAATGAAAGTTGTCCCCTGTAAGTAAGTACACAGATGGAATATATGAGAGCTGATGCTAGTCACATTAGGCTAGAGAGAGAAAACTGAGTCATTATTGGACAGCTCATTATATCTCCCAATTTTTACACAGCATCTGTAATTCTTCTTTCCTGACAAGCCCAACATTATGTAATTCTCCATCTATGGGGTCACATTGTTCCCGCTTGTCACTCCAGCGGAAGACAGGCAGTCCTGAGTCACGCATATTGTTTCAGCAATCCTATTATTGTACTCCCAATTTGCTGCTTTCCACCCACTCCCCAGTTTTGGTGCTGCCATTAGTTTCTCTAACAAGGTGGAGGCTTGGTTCAGCAGGAGGATGCATAAAACCCTACCAAGAGATGGGAATGGAGGGTCGTGTGTCTTTATGTGCTTGTTTGCAGAAATACAAGTAGAATTCATTTTACCTGAGATGCAGAAATAAGGGATCCGAGAAACGTAACATATGCTGCATCCAACCAGCATTTCGCTAGGTCACTATTTGAAGGAATTATTATTTTTAATCCACTTTAAAAACAAATGATCGAAAATGCAGAATCTGGGAGACAAGGGTGCATGTCTATACAGACCATAGACATGTCTGGTGCATGTCTATACAGACCATAATGTCAGGGATAGAAAATGACTACTGTGTGTTCGTTAACTTTTAACTCCACCCTACAGGTATTAGTTTCAAAGACGATAAATGTACAGGAAGCTTTTTACAGCCATTCACTGTTAATTTTATATCTAATGCAACAATAGTTGAATTAGGGTACTCCTTTTTGAAATGAGATATCAGCAATCTCTAGGCCCCTTTTATATTTATTCAAATAATCCAAAGGGTAAAAGTGAATGGAAACCCAATGTTTTATTTCAGGTGAGAATCCTTTATTTTCCCCTTGATATTTCTGTAGTCCCCCAATACCAAAATTTAGCATTCAGTCATATTTCCTCTTTTTCATTACAGCCTTCATATGCGGAGTTCGATATTAGTGGCAATGTGCTTGGTTTGATCTTCAACCAAGGAATGATCTGGTGAGATATTCTTGTATACTGTAGCCCTTTGCTAGAGAAAATGCTAAATTAAAACTTAAGAAATGCATCAGACTGAGGTCTGCTGTGCATTTTTGAAGGCCCAACAGAGACTCCATTTCCTTAGGGTCTTGCGTAAGAACAATGTCAAACAAAAACTGATGATCTCCTTCTACCGGGCCACAATAGAAAGTGTCCTTTTATACTGTATAACAGTGTGGTATGCTGGTTTGACAGCCACAGACAGGAAGTCCCTACAGAGGGTGACGAATACAGCACATGACATCATGGGTTGTCCTCGGAGTTCGCTAGATGACATCGCGAGAGACCGCTACCTCAGGAGAGCGAGGAAAATTCTTAGGGATGACTCAAATCCTGGCTAGCACAGGTTAAAGAACAGTTTTTATCCGTGGGCTGTTGGGCTGCTGGGCTGCTGAATGGGAAAAAGTAGTGGTGTAATTGACTTCTGACAAGCACATAGAGCGTGAAAAAGACTGAGTGTATGTGGGGGGGAGGGGGGGCTCGTTTAATTTCACTGCACACAGGTGGTGTAGTGACAATAAAGGTTTATTATTATTATTATTATTATTATTATTATTAATTTATATCCCGCCCTCCCCAGCCGAAGCTGGGCTCAGAGCGGCTAACAACAGTAAAAATAACACAGTTTACATAAAATCACAATCAATTAATTGAAATACATTCTAAAATCAATTCATTCTAAAATCAATTCAAAGTCAAATTAATGGCAACCATTGGGCTAGAGTTCTATGAGGAGTACAGAAGGAGGGGGTCAGACTGTGCCTTGGCCAAAGGCCTGGTGGAACAGCTCTGTCTTGCAGGCCCTGCGGAAAGATGTCAAGTCCCGCAGGGCCCTAGTCTCTTGTGACAGAGTTCCACCAGATCGGGGCCACGGCCGAAAAAGCCCTGGCTCTGGTTGAGGCCAGCCTAACCTCCCTGTGGCCCAGGATCTCCAAGATGTTTTTATTTGAAGACCAGAAGGTCCTCCTTGGGACATACCGGTACCAGGAGAGGCGGTCCCATAGGTACGATCCAAAGGCCACTTGCAGCCCACTTTGTCACTCCAACACCAGGGAGTTCATTTAGAAACAGACAGGGGTGTGGAGACCTTATCAGGCTTGGTTCCATGCCCACACCTTCTATAAGCTCCTGTTGGTGTTCCAACATGTCCTCCATCCATCCAAAACACATGGCTACCTTCCTTCATCTCACCCACCAAGGCAATTTTATTGGTGCCCATCCCACCTAGATGTTTCTCTCATCCTGGGACATTGAATGGGACATTGGCTACTTACTGTGAAAGTCAGTTCTGGTCCAGCATGAAGGAGACACCCAGTCCCACTGCAGTAGGTGGCTGCTGATGTGATAGAGCTCAAGATGTCTGGTTCTGCCATGCTATCTCAGAGGAGGCTATCCGTATGCTGACCTTATTTTCCCTTCGGCATCCAACCTTTCTACTGTCTTATGCACTACAAAGGAACTAAGCTGGAGCCTCTTCTGCCTGCTCAAGTCACCCAAGCCATCTCACATTATTATCCTGTCTGATCTGGGTAGTGGGTGGAGACAGCTCATGTGCTGGTCCCGGGGGGAAGGTTACAGTTGATGTAGTTGAAGTCCGGTCCTGGGTCACTAGCCTGGAAACAGTTCGCAAGGAGCGGGGCGAGGTCCGAAGCAGGAAGCCGAGCAGGGACAGGAACACTGGAGGGTCAGGTCTGGGTCCGGACAGAAGCAGGTACTCAACGACGACGTTGCTCC